TCTATCTGTTGGACCACAGCTTCCCTTTCTGTCTCTCCTCTCTCACTCTTCAGTCGCTTCAGACAGGAAGTGTCTGCTGTTCTGCTTCCTTGTCAAATGAACGCTAAACGCTGCAGAAACTCAAACAGTAAGCGGGTAAATGTTCTGAGACGACACGTGTGTGTGTGTTTTAATACAGGAGGCACGGTGTGATTCAGGATACGCCGTGAAGGCAGGAATCAGAGGCAGATGCTAAAAGGTTGGTGGACTTTCTGACAATATGGAGTTAAATAAACCGGAGCTGTTTATAACTATTCAAATCAGATTACTTTCTCACATATCACATTTATTTTTGTTGCACAAATGCATCAGAAGTGAGCTAGAAAATCCAAGATGTAAAACATATTTCATTCTTCTTTATATGCTATGATGTGCACACTAATAAACGAGGATGTGGTGCAAACTAGTGCATGAAACGAACCCTGCCGGTAGCTCATACGTCCGGAAGGAGACACTTTATTATTATTATTATTTTAACACCTTTTTATGCCAGTGCACACTTTCAAAGATGAACACATTTATTATATTTAATTAATTTTTATATTTTAAACCTAGTTGCAGGAGCTACTGTGGTTCTCCAACCTGGCAAAGAGAGGGGCTGATTAGTCCTCTAAATAATATCCTCCCAAACTAAAACCTAGAGTTGCTCTGGCATCTCAAAAACAGGTTTATTAACACCTCCACCAAAAGTGCAAACACAAAATATAATAATATAATTAAATAGTAATTATCAGGCAATGTCCACCTTAAAATGCAGTCTTTTCGAGACGCCTGAATAATCCCAATGAAGTCCAGTCACTCCACAAAAAACGTAATCCAAGTCAAGCGAAACACAGCAAAAAGTAGAAGCAGCATTATACGAAAAGAAGGGAATTAATATTTATATTTACGCTTGGTTTGTGCTGTGAGTCCTTGCTGGTCCTAAATGGGGTCTCAAAGCTCCTCAAGCAGCCCTGAAGTATCACAACTGTACCCACATGTAAACAGCTGTCTCTAGCAAAAGAGACCAAAGCCTTTCTTTTTCTCCAACGAACCATTCCCTCTCCTTTCCCTCACCTGAATCCACTGCACACCTGATCAGTGTCTGCAGGAGTGACAGGGGGGAGAAAGACCCCCTGATTCATCGACATGTTGGTTTGATCGTTGTCTACAAACATGCATGTGAACAAGTTATTGATGTCATGAAACGTACCACAAGTTAGTACGTTATTATTGTGACAGGACTGCGGGAAATATACATGTGTGTACCACCTGAGGCTCAGACATTGATGCAAACTAAAAGCATCTCTGGAGAAACTCACGTGAACAAGTTCAGCGGAAACATGCACGTTCATTTAAAGTCTCCTCAAGTAGTCATTGTGCAGATTGGTCCATTTCAGAATAATATATATGATATGTTTTATAATGATTGATCATGAAAGTGTTCTCAAAGCTGGTAAAGGTGCAGCTAGTTTGAATGGCTTTGTATACTGCAGGGTAGCTTGTGGATTTACTCCAGGTGGAACTAAAGTCTGATTTAACACTTGATTATATTTCACATCATTCATCCACATCTGTAAAGTAACTAAAGGTATTCAATACATGTAGTGGAGGAAAAGTACACCAAGAACCTCTGAACTGTAGTGGAGTAAAAGTACACCATTTACCTCTGAACTGTAGTGCAGTAGAAGTACACAGTAGCATAACATGGAAATACTCAAGTCAAGTACAAGTACCTCAAAGTTGTACTTAAGTTCAGTACTTGAGTAAATGTACTTAGTTACTTTCCACCACGAACATCTACCGTAAAGGTTTTGTGGAACATTCTGATGTAATAATCGTCAGGTTTGAGTCGTAGCATGAAAGTCTGTTTCACATGATTCTGCAGGAAAGCTGGTTTATGCTAATTATCTGCACACAGCGGCCAATCACATCGCTCCTCTTAAGATGCCTGTTGCACAATAACTGCATTTCTGAAAGTTAACAACATGAACACAACTCCTCATCTGCATCGCCAAATCTGTGTAAAGATTTCCCCCTGGCTTTAAGTATGGTGGGTCCGTTGAGGTACGATGCATTTGTGTATTATCTTTCTGTAGTATTTGTTCTCTCTGTGTGTGTTTTATATGTCCTCTGTTAGTGTGTGGTAGTGTGTGAGCAGCAGGAGGGTGACTGCTGTAGATTAGTAGGATTACAAACTGTAGAGATTAACCAACCGAGCATCTGTCTTTCTGCCAGTATTACTACTACTATTACAACTTTAACAGTAGCACTCAATATCTACTAATACTGCTGCTACTTTAAATATGATATGATGACTGTTAGCTTTACTTCCAGATGCTTTTCTGCAGCTGCCATTACTTCAAAACGTGTATTTAACGTGCTCACACTTGAAATACATACATCTGAGTTGTATGACTTTTTAAATGTATCTAATTGCCATATCAAAGGGCATTATATCTTTTACATGACCTTTACCAAACTATTTTATCTTTCTTAAAGAGTCCTCTCCTGCTGATGTTCAGGTGTATATCAGTATGTAGTGTCTCTACTTTAAAGAGTCCTCTCCTGCTGATGTTCAGGTGTATATCAGTATGTAGTGTCTCTACTTTAAAGAGTCCTCTCCTGCTGATGTTCAGGTGTATATCAGTATGTAGTGTCTCTACTTTAAAGAGTCCTCTCCTGCTGATGTTCAGGTGTATATCAGTATGTAGTGTCTCTACTTTAAAGAGTCCTCTCCTGCTGATGTTCAGGTGTATATCAGTATGTAGTGTCTCTACTTTAAAGAGTCCTCTCCTGCTGATGTTCAGGTGTATATCAGTATGTAGAGTCTCTACTTTAAAGAGTCCTCTCCTGCTGATGTTCAGGTGTATATCAGTATGTAGTGTCTCTACTTTAAAGAGTCCTCTCCTGCTGATGTTCAGGTGTATATCAGTATGTAGTGTCTCTACTTTAAAGAGTCCTCTCCTGCTGATGTTCAGGTGTATATCAGTATGTAGTGTCTCTACTTTAAAGAGTCCTCTCCTGCTGATGTTCAGGTGTATATCAGTATGTAGTGTCTCTACTTTAAAGAGTCCTCTCCTGCTGATGTTCAGGTGTATATCAGTATGTAGTGTCTCTACTTTAAAGAGTCCTCTCCTGCTGATGTTCAGGTGTATATCAGTATGTAGTGTCTCTACTTTAAAGAGTCCTCTCCTGCTGATGTTCAGGTGTATATCAGTATGTAGTGTCTCTACTTTAAAGAGTCCTCTCCTGCTGATGTTCAGGTGTATATCAGTATGTAGTGTCTCTACTTTAAAGAGTCCTCTCCTGCTGATGTTCAGGTGTATATCAGTATGTAGTGTCACTACTTTAAAGAGTCCTCTCCTGCTGATGTTCAGGTGTATATCAGTATGTAGTGTCTCTACTTTAAAGAGTCCTCTCCTGCTGATGTTCAGGTGTATATCAGTATGTAGTGTCTCTACTTTAAAGAGTACTCTCCTGCTGATGTTCAGGTGTATATCAGTATGTAGTGTCTCTACTTTAAAGAGTCCTCTCCTGCTGATGTTCAGGTGTATATCAGTATGTAGTGTCTCTACTTTAAAGAGTCCTCTCCTGCTGATGTTCAGGTGTATATCAGTATGTAGTGTCTCTACTTTAAAGAGTCCTCTCCTGCTGATGTTCAGGTGTATATCAGTATGTAGTGTCTCTACTTTAAAGAGTCCTCTCCTGCTGATGTTCAGGTGTATATCAGTATGTAGTGTCTCTACTTTAAAGAGTCCTCTCCTGCTGATGTTCAGGTGTATATCAGTATGTAGTGTCTCTACTTTAAAGAGTCCTCTCCTGCTGATGTTCAGGTGTATATCAGTATGTAGTGTCTCTACTTTAAAGAGTCCTCTCCTGCTGATGTTCAGGTGTATATCAGTATGTAGTGTCTCTACTTTAAAGAGTCCTCTCCTGCTGATGTTCAGGTGTATATCAGTATGTAGTGTCTCTACTTTAAAGAGTCCTCTCCTGCTGATGTTCAGGTGTATATCAGTATGTAGTGTCTCTACTTTAAAGAGTCCTCTCCTGCTGATGTTCAGGTGTATATCAGTATGTAGTGTCTCTACTTTAAAGAGTCCTCTCCTGCTGATGTTCAGGTGTATATCAGTATGTAGTGTCTCTACTTTAAAGAGTCCTCTCCTGCTGATGTTCAGGTGTATATCAGTATGTAGTGTCTCTACTTTAAAGAGTCCTCTCCTGCTGATGTTCAGGTGTATATCAGTATGTAGTGTCTCTACTTTAAAGAGTCCTCTCCTGCTGATGTTCAGGTGTATATCAGTATGTAGTGTCTCTACTTTAAAGAGTCCTCCTCCTGCTGATGTTCAGATGTATATCAGTATGTAGTGTCTCTACTTTAAAGAGTCCTCTCCTGCTGATGTTCAGGTGTATATCAGTATGTAGTGTCTCTACTTTAAAGAGTCCTCTCCTGCTGATGTTCAGATGTATATCAGTATGTAGTGTCTCTACTTTAAAGAGTCCTCTCCTGCTGATGTTCAGCTGTATATCAGTATGTAGTGTCTCTACTTTAAAGAGTCCTCTCCTGCTGATGTTCAGGTGTATATCAGTATGTAGTGTCTCTACTTTAAAGAGTCCTCTCCTGCTGATGTTCAGGTGTATATCAGTATGTAGTGTCTCTACTTTAAAGAGTTCTCTCCTGCTGATGTTCAGGTGTATATTAGTATGTAGTGTCTCTACTTTAAAGAGTTCTCTTTATTATTTTCTGTTCTTCAGCAATGGCTCGTAGGAGTTCCCGTCTGGTTTCCGGTGGTTACTACAACTCGGACGAAGAGTCTGATTCCAGCAGCGTTACGAACATTTCCTACCGAGAAACCCCCGTCAAGTACGTAGCATTTTTTGTAATTATGTGTCAGTAGCACTCAGTGTGTAATCCTATCCAATACAACTTTATTTATACAGCACATTTAAAAACAGCAGTGTTGACCATCATCAATAAATAAAGCAGCATAAATACACTTAGACAAAACAAATAGGACAAAAAACAAATGTGAAAAACACGAGACAATAAAACCATACTTCTAGCCACAGACTGAAAAACTCTCATACATGATGTAAAAACAAGAAAATAGAAAACCCAAGTTTTAAAGTAATGACAACAATTCTCTGTCTTTGTTTTATTTATCGTCAGGGTTTTCAAGAAGAAGGCGGGGACCCGTAAGTCTGTCTCTCGGACGCCGAGCCGAGCCAATAGCAATGCCAGTTCTGTTGGCACGGAAACGCCCATCACTGCTGGCCAGTACGAAGGTAAGAACATCTCCATAGAGCGGTACAGTGAGGACGTGTTTCTGTAGTTCGACCCTGAAGTCAGCGGCTGGTTCCCTCGACAAAAAGCAGCGGGATTTCTCCATAGGATTTTGGAATATTGTAAAAAATAAGGTCTGTGGAAAGCGAACCTGTTTGATAAATGCACGTTTTGTTCAGCCGGATAATCTCCACATGTCGACCCTACTTTTATAATGTTGGAATCATAAATCTAATGGCCAGAAGCAAAATGCTAACGTTATGCTATAAAGGAACTACAGCCGAGTACAGCAGCACGACTTCAACGTCACGCCAACTTCAGATCCATATTCAAACATACAGATTCTAAATGGTACGAGTTGAAGCGTTTGTTTGAACAGTTTGCAGGAGGCAGGTACTTGCTTTCAAGCAGAACAGGGCAAACAAACTCAGAGGAGTGTTTACGTGTTCGGCGTAATGACGTACAACGGCCTCCACAACTTCTGTAGTCCTGTTCAGCCACTTGGTAACAACCATCGTTTTTCAGACACGTACACTCTTCAGAAATCACCAGTGGGGTCACTGCTGATGGATTTAATGTCATAGAACAAAACGTGATCCGTCTCTTCAATGTGTCTCAACCACAGACCTTATTTCCAGATATTTTCCAAAAATTAGTTCAAAAATGTTGCATCACAATGCCTATATTGCCAGTGCTAAGGATGCATTGATAGCAGCAGCTGTATTGTCGCTTTCTGGGTCTTTTATTTTGAAAAGAAAATCCAAATCTGAGTTAACTGAAATTGTAGTTACTTTCCGAGGCTTTTATTTTGAAAAACAAGTCTAAATCTGAACTTCCTACAATGATGAAGTTGCTTTGTGGGGCTTTTATTTTGAAAAACAAGTACAATTCTGAGCTTCCTGGAACGTGCAGTTTATTTTTTGGGCTTTTATTTTGAAAAACAAGTCTAAATGTGAGCTTCCTTGAACTATACAGTTACTTTCTGGGGCTTTTATTTTTTAAATAAATCCAAAACTGAGTTTACTGATATGATAGTTACTTTCCTAGGCTTTTATTTTGAAAACCAAATCTACATCCGAGCTTCCTGGAACGATACTTTTTGTGGCTTTTATTTTGAAAAACAAGTCTAAATCTGAGCATCCTGGAATTATACAGTTACTTTCGAGGCTTTTATTTTGAAAAAAACATCTAAATCTGAGATTACTGAAATTATAGTTACTTTCTGGGGCTTTTATTTTGAAAAACACGTATCGTTCTGAGCTTCCTGTGAGGAAACAGTAGCTTTAAGGGGCTTTTATTTTGACAAAATTGTCAAGTTTATTCACAAAAAGCTGTGTTTGTCTCCCCTCCAGCCCCTCCCCCCTCCCCCCTGATCAGCGAGTCGGACCCCCCCAATGAGGACGTTGCCTTTCCTCCCCTCCTCCACAGTGACCCCCCGCCCCCCCCTCACTCCCTCCCCCTCAAGGACCCCCCTTCACTACCCCTCCCTTCCCCCAGAGAGGAGCCTCTACTCTGGGCTGGGCTGCTCCATCAGGCCGGGGTTAACATCCGGAGCGGAGCTGAAAGAGAGGACTCAAAGCGGGGTGGAGAGCTCCGGGTACTCGTCCTCCGAGGGGCCGCTCCTCTGGAAGACCCCCAGTAACACCAGGAACACCAGTAAGGGTCCCAGTGCTGGATACTGGGGAAAGATCAGAGGCGCCTTCTACAGTCTGATGGGTGAGAACTTTTTTTCTTCAATGATGTGAATGGCATGTGCGTGTAGGGAACACTATACAAACTAAATATTAACAATTGTTATTGTGGGGGAAACTTCTGAAGCAATTGGAAACAGGACTATGGGCTCAGAACAGTCTCATAATTCACACATGCACACAGAAGGATTCACACGTATTTCATGATCCACACTTGTGTTTTTCAATGCTCACACAAATGTGTTACGTTTCATATTCATGTAAATAAAATCCAAATACAGAAAAAAGTTTTACATATGTATTTTTGACCTGCGCCTGCAAACACAACCCGCTCTCTGTGCATGGATCGCTGTGCATTCGTGTGTGGGTTTTTTGAGACTCCCCTGACGGTCACCCGATTCGTACTTTTTGTAATTTTTTCTATCTATAGCCAATCAGATGTCTCCTCCATTCTAAGCCAATCACATGAGCGCGCCCCCACGAGGGTATGATTTCTTGCGTTCATGACACTTCATATACGCATTTTGCGCTGTCCGGGTTAGGGTAAAATGCGTAGCATGAAGCGCTACGTCATGAACGCAATAAATGGCTATACAGGGTAGAGATTAAAAACAAATCAAATACAATCATTTAAATATCTATATATGTTAAAAACAGGTGAATACCCTCAGGTGAGTGACTGTCTACCCAGCTGTCACAGTAGAGAAGTAAAAAATAGACCATGATATTAAAAAAAAATGAATTATTCCGTAACAATATTATGTGTGTGTGTGTGTGTGTGTGACATGTGTGTGGTGCATGTGTGTGTTACATGTGTGTGTGTGGGTGTGGTGTGTGTATGTGTGTGGTGCATGTGTGTGGTGCATGTGTGTGTTACATGTGTGTGTGTGTGTGTGTGTGTGTGTGTGTGTGCATGTGTGTGGTGCATGTGTGTGTGCACACCTTTATAATCATTCATCGTCTCCTCTGTTTGTGCAGACTCAGTCTCATTGATGCTCGCTGCCTTAAAGTCTAAAATAAAGCATCTCCCATCTCAAGGTATGATTTAACTCTGTGTGTGTGTTAGTGTGTGTGTGTGTGTGTGTTAGTGTGTGTGTGTGTGTGTGTGTGTGTGTGTGTGTGAGAGAGAGTTATTCCGAACCTGTGAGTGGTGTGTGTGAGCCTGTGTTTCCCTGCATTGTACAGTACACACACACTCTGCTCTCACATGCCAGCAGGTTGATGTGTTCGCTCTGTGCATGTGACTCGGCTCCAGCTGATTAAAATCCTGCACATTATTTCCTCTCCTCTGTTTTCCCGCAGCAGCTTCAGTTAGCGGCCGCATGAAGAAGGCCTTCGCTCTGCTCCTCCTCTTCCTCATCGCACTTCTGTGTAAGTCACAAACACATTTAATTCAATGTCTTTTTGCACATTTTACAATCACAACTAGGAGACTCTCCATTGCCACCTAGTGGTCAGTTATGATGCTTAAAGTGTTCCCTGTCAAAAAGAGACGATTTAAAGGAAATATTACTTAGGTTTTTACGATCACCAGACTTTGTTCGACTTAACGCTCAAAGTTGCTGAAAGAAAACCAAAGATCTCTTAAGTTTTTTGTCTTTAAAGTCAGAATCCTGATTTAAAATGTCCCTAATCCTCTTCCGTACTCCCTGAATAACTACATGTATTATCAGAGGGTCACTGGTATTGTTTTATAGTTGTGTATCTCAACAACTCTTCTCACCTATCGTCAAAGATATGAAGCTGAATTCCTCACGGTTATTTTTCCCATTCTATATATTTAATGCACAAGATCGTTCCATTTACAGCCCGTTATGTGACCATTTGAACCAGTGCTTTGTCATTTGGTTAATTAGTGTTACTCCTATTATAAGTTGTAAGAAGGAATCTTTCTTTTGCACTTCTTCTGCTCCTGTCTTTTCAAGAAGTACGATCTGTTTTGAGAAATATCACAAAAAGTACAAAAAAAACACTAAAATAACTGACTATATTTTGCCTTTTCTCCAGCGTGTGTGTAATTCCTCGTGTTCCCTCCAGGTGTTTGGCTCCTCCTCCCTCTGTTGACCCCCCTCGTCTCCCGTATGGCCGTCACTAAGTCTCAAAGTAAACCAAAGAGTTCCCCTGTGCTCTTCACCTCCTCTCCTCCTCTTCATCAACCCAACTCCATACAGTCTGCTCACGTGGTGGTAGGGCGGATGGGTGTGTGTGTGTGTGTGTGTGTGTGCGCGTGTGTGTGTGTGTGTGTGTGTGTGTGGTGTGTGTGTGTGT